AAAGGTGAAAGGTAATGATAGTAGGAACTTTGGAGCAGGGACCAAAGTTACTCATAATGTTCCTCCTCACCCTCTACATACAACCTTATGTAGTGAGCCTTAGCAGCAGAAAACACACTACGGGCACTTGCAGCCAGGCAGGGAAGCCAGCAGTATCTATCTGTACAATTCTCAGTAATAAGTGTTTACTGTTACTTAAAATCTCCAGGATCTTTTCTTATAATAGCTAGTTAGCAACAGCTATTACAGATTGCTTTGGAAATGCTCTGCCATATCAAGGCCAGGGGTGCAGTTAGCAGTGCCCATTTTGGGTGATTTGGTCCCACAGGCCAGGGCATACAGCCCCCGCAAAATTTACCAGCTTTAAAAATGTTTCACTTCTTAACAATGTTTTTGCCCATAGTCGAGGGGGAAATATATGCAGAATCTAAATGAAACTCACATCAGAGAACTTCCCCTGATCTCCACTTGTGAATGCCACCAAAAACAAGCTGCACAATGCAAAGGTTCAGAAGTTACTAGACTGTGAGCCAGTTCTGATACAGAAGCAAGAGTGCAATGGAATATGTCAGTTTTGAGTCCATTTTTCAAAGTGCTCTAAAATTCACAAGCACATTCAGATCGGGTGGAAATCTGGTAGGCCTGTTGCGGGCCTGAGGTAGTGTCAGTTTGGAGTTATTTGGTTGGCAATTCCTGATACACAGTCCCTAAATTAAAAGTCTGATGTTGGCAGGTTAGGGTGGCCTTAGTGGCCAGTTTTACCTTCACCTGCCTGGAAGGAGGTGCCTTGCAGAACAGAGATTTCGATGGAGCTGGTATTTAGAAGAATGTATCTGGGAAAAGGAGAGATTCTGCTGTTCTGAAAGAGCCTCAGAAATGTCAACTCCCCTGAGAGGAAAGTTCATATTAGTCTGAAAAGAAAAGGATTTAATTAATCAACATCAAAGTGGTTCTTACCTTATACTTCTGGACAGCCTCTTTAATGAGGACCACTGTGTGCGCTTTGTGCAGTGCGGATTTGTCACATTCCACACATATGAATTCCCCATCCTCTTCACAGAACAGGCTGAGTTTTTCCTTGTGTCTCTCACACAGATTCTCCTTTTCCTCTTTTCCTGGTTTCAATCTACATTTAACTTTTTCTACTAGACTGGCCAGCTGCCAGTTAGGCCTGAAATTCACTTTCTCCATCTTTGATCTGCAGATGGGACAGCCATGATTTCCCTCTTCCGATTTCTCACAGTATGTAGTGATGCAGATTTTGCAGCTGCTGTGCCCACAGTCTATAGTCACTGGGTCGCCAAATAATCCAAACAAATTGGACATGTGGCTTCATCTTTTACTTCCCATTCAGGAGTCTCTGAGGCCGTGGCTGTTGCCCTCTCTGGGTTCTCATTCTCTCTTCCTGTTAAGAGTAGCAGATAAGAGACTTTTACAGTGTAACAGCTTTACAGAACCTACAAACTTGTCAGCAATCCTATATATTCTTAGATTTTAATAGGCAGTGTTCTTTAACTCTGTCTCTCTATAAAACAAAGATATATTCTTCTTTTATATAGGACACTTTAACCTCTCTAACCCTTTAATGAAACTGAGTGCTTTCAATTAACAATACAATCTTTCTAATTACTGAGCAACTTTACTCTTCTTTCACTTCTTGTGGTTTTATTTTGTGGCCTTGTTTTCTTTTCTTTTTTAATTTACTTTTTTGACATGTTCAATAATGAATAATTTAAACAAAATAAAAACTACAGAATCAAAATGATTTCAAACAATTCTGCCATTTCCTGATTAGGACTATACTAACTAATAACAAGACCTGGCACTCACTCCTCAGGAAACACTCTGGAGATCAGTAGAGCGCAAAGCAGCTCACAAAGTTTACTGTAGTTATCCTGACAGTACCGCTATTGCCACTGTACAGGTGGGGAACTGAGGCACAGAGAGGCTTAATGAGTTTTCTAAAGCCACATGGGAAGTTTCTGGTGGAGCTGGGACTCAAACCCATGTTTCCTAAGTATTGTACTTTATGGGATATCTAGGAGTGCACAGCATCTTGATGCCACATGCCCTTAGCATAGAAAGGTAGGACTGGAAGAGACCTTGAAAGGTCATCTATTCCAACCCCATGCACTGAAGTGGGACCAAATAAACCTAGATGGTCCCAGGTGATTGTCCAAAAAGCCTCCAATTATGGGGATTCCACAACCTCCCTAGGAAGCCAGAACTTAACTACCGTTAGAGTTAGGAAGTTTTCTCCAATATCTAACCAAAATCTCCCTTGCTGCAGATGAAGCCCATTTCTTCTTGTCCTACTTTCAGTGGACATGGAGAACAATGGATCTCCATCCTCTTTATAACAGCCCTTAACATGCGAAGACTGTGGATAAACGCAGAAAGAGTGATTGGATCCTGGGGCTCCCCTCTCCCAGGTGGGTGCCCTAAACCACTGGACTGCAGAGACATTTTCCTGATTTCATTTTCTGTGGCCCAATGTCTCTTTATGTATTTATACACAGTGGAACAGTCGCTGGGGCAGAGGGAGTGAAAATGACTCTAGAGCCTGGGGCTAGGACATGCACATGGAAGTCCCTGGTCCAGTCTCCCAGCTCCAATCACTTTCATTAGTTAGCCACAGTGGAACAGCTTAAACAGGAGAGACTAGATCAGTGGTTTTCAAACTTTTGTACCGGTGACCCCTTTCACACAGCAAGCCTCTGAGTGCAAACCGCCCCCCCCCCAAATTAAAAACACATTTTTATCTATTTAACACCATTATAAATGCTGGAGGCAAAGCGGGGTTTGGGCTGGAGGCTGACATCTCACGACACCCATGTAATAACCTCACGACCCCCCGAGGGGTCCCGACACCCAGTTTGAGAACCCCTGATCTAGATGATTGTTCTCACTGCTGTTGTGAAAGTTAAAAGGTCACCAACTGCTCCTCATCTGGAGTGATTTTGAATGGGACCTAATCCAGTCAATACACAATGAGCATGCCTGTGAGATTAGCCCCTGCACATAATTCAGGTAGCCAAATGCCTGTTTTCCCCTGGTTTGTGAATTACTCTGGGACTTGGATGAGAGATAAGTTTCCATATGTCTAGAGGAAGGAGCAGTACATGTGCTCATAGGCTGAAACTTAGACTCTATGGGAACTTTTATCTTGAAAACTTAGGTGCTAAGTGAGTTTAGTCACCTAAATTGTTCGGTGGTGGTGTTGTGGGTGTGACGTTGCACTCCATATGCTTTATGAAAATATGCTTATGAATATGAATATGACATAACTGGAATATGCTTTATGTGAAATACCTCTTGTAACATATCAATGGAAAAATTATAATCTACTGGATGTGGTCATCCTATTTGTATGCCAGTATCATTCTTATATGTACAGTTAGGCATATAAAGTATAAACTTGTATTACTGTTAAGGGGTGCCAATGCTGGCAGAAGGGTTAGGCTCAGTGGTATCTCAGCACATCAAGTGACAGTCCCAAGGGGGTCCTGACAAGTGAACCTGTCACAGTAGATCACAGTGGAGCATAAAACGGGTACACAGATGCCTAAACTCCAGAATTAAGTGCCTAAGTTTATGGTTTAGGCATATAAGTATCTTTCAGAGGAGTAGCCATGTTAGTCTGTTTCATCAAAGACAA